CAAATGGAGTTGTGAGAGAGACACTTTATCATTCGAGAGGGAATTATCAAAGCGTGTGAAGGAGACATCAGCCAATGCCCAGCAAAGTGCACCATGCCTTTTTTGCCGACAAAGTCACACACGACGAGCTAGCGGATTTAGCCCTTACTGGCTGCTCCACGGAGTAGACCCGGTTCTGCCATTTGACTTAGTAGAAGCTAGCTTTTTGGTAGAAGGATTTAGGTCGGGAATGTCATCAGAAGACCTATTAGCCCTGCGAATCAGACAACTAGAGAAGCGGCCAGAAGACATCAATGCCGCAGCTAAGGCGCTTGCCAAAGGACGATGGCAGGCCAAGCTACAGTTTGAAAAGCGATTCAAGCACCGTTTCCTCAAGAAAGCCTCATGGGAACCAGGAGATCTGGTTCTGGTTAGAGATGTAGAAAGGGACCATTCATACGATCGCAAGCACACTCCAAGATACAGGGGACCATATGAGATCGCTGGACAGACCAAGCATGGATCGTACGTCCTAAAGGAGCTGGATGGCACGTTGAGCCGCCGCGGAATTCATGGATACAGGCTTTTGCCTTATGTTAGCAGAGCCCAGGCCATAGAAGCACTTAGGGAAACAGGAGACGACAGCGAGCCTGATGACTCTGATCAATCTGAGATAGACGATGCGGAGCTTGAAGAATAAACAGGAATGGAAGCATGCTGAACCTTTATGGCATCATCAGCCAGGCCTACCAAACAAGGCTTGAAGTCGCCTGACCCAAACCATTCAGACCCCTCTTGCTACCCAACCCACTCTCAGCTGCAGCCATGCAAACTCCAGTCGAATCTTCTCAGCCAATCCAAGCCCCATTAAACCCGCTTCCATATCCATTGGCCACACCAATCAAAGCCCGCGTAATCTCCCATCCATACCCGCTCGCCACCCATGATGTTCCAGTCCTGGTACCGTCAGCACTATCCTCGCTGCAGAGTCAGCCCACTCGCTGCACTTTCCAGACGGATGAACGACCCAGAACGTATATGATCGATCCGCTATTCAACCAGAATGACATCATCCCACGTCGCTGCCTTGTTGACATCGACGGCCTGGGACCAGCCTGCTGGTTTGATCGAATCATTGACATTGACCTGTCAGACCTGGGATATGTGGTGATGGAGGGATGGATCTTCACTGGATTTGTGGAAAAAGGATGGAATGCAACCCGATTCCATGCAAAAGTCTCCTGCGAAAGCTTGGACTTGCCGTACCCTTGGAGAATCCTCCTCAATAATGACCCGGTCCAACTCGGCTTCCAATACTTCCATATGACCCTGTAAGCGACACTGTTCATCTCGCAAGTTTTGCATCCTCGGCACCGGGGACGTTGCCTTTTAAAGTCGAGGGCGAATTTGTCAGACTAGGAGATCGTTCGAATGCCAAACTAAGCTGTCGCTGCGCGCTGAACGTATCCCTTCCAGGCCTGAACTGTACCACAAGTACCAGCTTCAAGCCACTACATTTGGAATATACAGATCGGTAATGGAAGGTTTGGTGGACAGTATCTTCAATAACTGGCTGGGAATCGACAATGAAGACATATACGACATTGACTTCAATCATGCAAAGCACTTGCTGATGCAAGGAGAACAGTTTCGGCGCAGCATCAAAGCAGGAGGACTGTGAGAATATTCAGGGCGCAGAATATTCTAGGAGGATCCGAGACATTCCACTGTTTTCCCTTGACATGACTCATTCTATGTCCATACGACTCATTCCATGCCTTTATGACTCACTCCCTTACATATGACTCATGCTATGCGGATATGACTCATTCTATGTCAATATGACTCATGCTATTCCCTTCTATTTATAGAGATGAGTCATGTTGACTCAGCCTATGCTCAAGGACCAATCACAAGTCCCCAAGCTAGCTGACTCATCCTATTTTCTCACACTATTGTACACTATTCTCTCACACTATTGTCTATGTTGCCTAGTAACCAGGCAATTCTCCCACCCTATTGTTATGAATTTCAAATTACTGTAGGGTATATAAGGAGCTCAGTAGACAGTCTTAGAGAGACACAATAATAATAAGAGACCCTCTAAATACCAGAGAGCCTCATTGGTTTCAAGTCAGCCTCAGATCAGTTGTACTACTG